CCCCAAAACCCCAAAACCCCAAAACCCCAAAACCCCTAAGGAGGAGTAATTAATTGAGAATTTGCATTGCTTGCCTTCAGAGCTCATGGCAGTTAATGAGCTTCTTTACTATAAAGAGCCCCACTAAGAATCAAATGATGGTCGCAGTTGCTCTGAGGAAGGAAGTTGATATACAATACCCTATAACCTAGAACGAAATGTTCCAAAGCACTTGAACTTTAACTAATTTTGAGCTTAGAATAGCCAGTAATTTATATATCCTGAGAAGGTGTTTGGCTGACCTCCTCCTGCTTCGTGATGAAGAAGTCTGTGTCTGATTCAGAGATCTTATCATCTCTCTTTTGTTTCTTCCTATTCTTGCCTGCTACATTGAGGAGTTTGGACAGGTCTAGAATGAACTCTCTGTGCTCGATAGCTACTTTGAGTTCATCATCAACTTTACTGATCTCTCTGTTAATCTCTGAGAGCTCTTCAGTGATCTTGTTATTTTTGAGACTTGATCTCTTCAAGTTTGCCTGTCTTTCTAGAGGCTTTTTCAGCTTCGAGAGCGAGTTGCTCTACATATTTCTGGAATTTGTCCCTGTCCTCTTTGAAGGAGTTCTTTGCCTCAAGAAGTTTCTCATTCTCAGTGACGATGAACTCTTTAAGTTTCTCAGTCTCTTCCTTTTTGTTTCTAATGGAGATTTCAAGGAAAAGGAGGTCCCTTGATTGATTTACAAAATCTTTTCTGGACTCTTTCTGCTTTATCTTATCTTGCAGATAAGCCATGTGGGCACTCTTCTTGGATGGCATGTTCGCTACATCAAGTGTTTGAGCCTCTTTAGGCGCCACTGACTGGCTATGCTGTGCAAGAGTATTCTCTTGCTTGATCACGTTGAGTCGGTCTTCAAGCTCATCAGGATCAGTTTCGAAGATGTTTAGCTTCTCACTACCCATCGCCATAGCTTGGGAATACCTCTTAAGGTTTTTCTTAGCTGTTAAGTTGTGGTGGAATCCAGGCTGTTCGTCAATAGGTTTGATTGAATGAATCTCTCTGATGACCCCTTCTCTGTTTCTGAAGTTTGAGGTGCCCTTTTCATGAATGCTGAAGACATTCTTCATCTTCTCACGAGTCATTTGTTCCTGTATTCTCATTCTTTCATTATGGATCAGCATTAGCTCCGATCTTTTCGGAAGAATAAATGGGTTTAGTTTCATTTCGTTATTTTGATCAAGTTGGGCAGCTTTAAGCTTGGGAAGGCCCACTACAGGGAACTTTATGGAGGCATCGAGACTCTCATTTCTCATAATAGGCTCAACACTTTGGTGGTGGGATCCTCTCTTGCTCTAAAAGTTACCCTGATCTACAAGTACCTTCCTATGGCTGAGGGATGACTTAATGCTATAGGTCATTAGAGGAGGTCAGAGGGTTGGCTTACCTTTCGCTTTCGTTGCCGTAGGCATTCTTAATATGACTTCTAAAAGTTGAGTGGCCCTTCCTACCGTCTTTTGGAGACTTTTCCTAGAGTTAATTAGAGTTCCGAACCTGTGTTCATGCTGTTGATGAAGAAATAAAATATTTATAAATATTTTTGAGTTCTAAAGGGGTTTTGGGGTTTTGGGGTTTTGGGGTTTTGGGG